CTGCACGCGGCGCCGCACGGGACGGGACGCGGGAGCGCGCGCCGTGCGAGCGGGAACGGGCACGGAGACGTGACGGGCGCCGCCAGGGCCCCGTCTGGGAGCAGCACGGCCGCGTTCGCTGAATCGAGGCATTGTCACCGGCCCGGCCGCGTGCAGCGCCCGGGGAAGCTAATGAGCCCGTGGGACGAGGCTGGCGAGCAAGTGCTGGAAAGGGCAGGGGCAAAACTAAGGGAAAAAATAATTAAAAAAAAATCCTAAATTTAAAGAAGGCAGATACAGGCAGCTAGAAAGGAATTGCTCTGCAAACGCAACAAAATGAGCTGACGCAACGAGCTACGGGGGTTTATACGTAAGGTAACATCAGAGAGTGCCTGGTCCTTGAACCGAACAGCAGCCAGGACCGCATCAACCATGCAATAACTGCGAGGGATTTTTATCCATCCAGCAAAGGCGGGTGCCTTGCACCTGGCTTTTCCCATTAATGCTGTTTCCCCAGGCCTGGGCATGGGCTGCACCACAAGCAAACACGGGCCCTGCCAACCATGGGCTCCAAACCTGCCCCAAACCCCCTCTCCGAGGCCGCCCCACTGCTATTTAAAGCCCATCACCAGCCGGGCAGCCGTATGCTCAGGCAGCTCTTCCCAGGCTCCTGGGAGGAAATTATTCAGCCTCGCTGGCTTTGAAACCTCCCTCCCCATGGATAAACCTCCTGCGCTCGAGTCCTCACTGATTCGCAAAGACTCCACAGTGGCCAAGAGCCTCCGCGAGCAAACGCAGCCCTAAGCGACCCACAAAACGGGCTTCAGAGAGGTGGAAAAAATGGGAATCAGCCACCAAAGTTCTGCAGCTTCTTTTGCCAGCGAGAGCCAGGAGCCACCCAAGCCCCCTGCCCCATCCACCCTCCCGGCTGCGACTCCTCTGCCCAGCAGCAGAAGCGCAGGCACGTGGGGAGCTGCTTCTCACACTGCCCCCTGGGCAAAAAGCCCATTTGAACCATTTCTGTATTTTTTTAATGGGCTCTGAAAGCAAGTGGGAAGTCACCTGCGGCGCCCTGCTAGCCCAGCAAGCTCGGTGGAAGATGAGATGAGCGTGGCAGGGCTCAGCTGGGTCAAAGTCCCGGCCGCACTCGGCGCACGCGCCGCAAGGGCCACCAACCTGCTCGTCGCCACGGGGCTTGGGGACGGGCGAGGAGGAGCCCAGGTCCTCGTGCAGGCGGTCGAGCAGCCAGAGCAGGAACTCGAGGGCGTCGTGCTGCGTGTTGCCCCGGAACTGTGCGCTGTGCTGCGCCACGATGCTCTGCAGGGCAAGGACACGGCCCTGAGGGCGCGGGCCACGGCCGCTGCGCCCACAACGAGGCGCCGCGTGGC